TCAAGTTTCGGCTCGTTCCCTGGGGCCATCGCCTAATAGGTAGGACCGCGGAATATGTGGCGTATAGGTGATTTCGCGTATATAATCGTATACATCACACCTATAGGCGATCTGTTGTATACAGCATGGTCTATAGGCCTGTAGGCTATAGGTTACCATGTGTACGCATGCAAAGCTGTGAGAGCCTAATAGTCCGTTGTATAAAGGTATGCCTTTATGTAGGCCACTCGTGTATACAGTGTTCGGGCCAAAGCTGCACTAGCTGCTGCGTGCGAAACACCTTTGACCTCCCATGAGGTCTGTGCATATGAAACGTTTTGTATTCACCCTTCATGCCGAGGCACATGCATCGATGGAGTCCATGCAACGCCGTCAGGCACCCCTCGTCATTAAGACCTGCTAGTAAGAGCTGTACTTCCTGTGACCTCTGGTGTCCGATTCGCGCCAGTTGCACCGCAAATGTTGACATTCGATAACAGATTTCAATTATGTTTCTTGGCTGCTTTCCTAGGCGAGAAGTTCATGGTCTGCTGCCGACCCAACCTCCGGTACGACAGTGCTAGACAAACGTAGCAGATGTTCATAAATGACTTTTATGTTTATGTAAATATTATTGCTATAGCGGCTCTGGACCGGACGGGTGTAAGATGTGCGTTGGTCGACGCGTTGGCCTTACGAAGAAGGAGAAAAACGCGAAGAGAACACGTGAATTCATATGCATAAGTCATGGACGGCGACGTTTTACGCTCTGAATGGTGAATCCTGCTTTTGTGTTCGGTTCTGGACCTCACATGTTGTCGTACCGGAAAATTGTCTTCCGGTACGGCGGTCACAGGAGGTATCTACGTCGACTTGAATGCAAACCAATTACTGGAGGTTGCATCGCATGTTTCTTGGCCGCAGCCAGCAGCAAACTCATATGGAGTTGGGCCATTTGCCCAGGCTGCCGCATGGACGACAAGCCAGGCTAACGCAGCTGATGTCCATGACTGCCCTTTACATGCTAACTATAAAAGTTGGGACTACCCCTAACTTACATTCTGGGTTAAGTACTACCGGTAAGGCGCGACCATTATTCACGAGAGGTCTCGAAATCGAGGCACGGTTATAAATGGCGGATTATCTAATTCATAGACATTAAGGTTAACGATGCAATAAGAGAAGTAGTGCGGATGTCGCGCGATCGATAAAAGAGATGACTAGGGTATCTAAAGGGTGACTCGAAAGAAAAGCCTATTATGCGATGCCTGTACAGGTCCTATTATAGGGAATCATGTATACTTGCGTCTATATAGGCAATGTCGTTTACAACATGACCTGTATACATGACCTGTATACCGCATAGCCTAAACATCCCTTGCTACAGGTTATGATGTAAAAATGTACTTATAATGCTATGCCATACATGATCGTATATTAGGCCATCACTTACACATGCGCCTCTTATGCCTAAGCCTTTAAGTCTCGTAGAATACGTGTAGAGCTAAATGGCCTATATACCTTTCACCTAATTTCCCGGACATGTCGCCTATACAATGCCCGACAAGTCGGGTGTCGGCTTCCTCGAAGCCGGAAAAAGGGCGGGCCCCCCCTGCATCCGTACAGGCCGGTAGCTAGCGTGGCACGTGTGACAATTGATGGGTAGTGTCAACGCGGTGGGAGATGTGCTTTGTTGCAGCAGTGCTGATGGTGTGGGAGCTAAGCTTGCACCGGCGGAATCGTCAGCACCGCCTGCGGGCTCCACGCGAATCGCATCCATCCCGGGTGCATGCCGCATGGACAGTGCGGCAGACCGCAAGTCGGAATGCCCATGCGGGCAAATGGTAACGAAAGCTGGGTGAATTTCGGTGCTGTCTGTGATGTTTATCCCCGATGCGCCAGCGGCCTCAGCAATCCGCCCCACAGCCGCGAGCTTCATCGGGGCACACCGCAAGTCTCCGGAGGCCCCGAGCATTGGCTAAAGTAAATGTACAAATGAGCAGCTTGCGTATTTCATAGAGAAATGTAAGCAAATTTGTCGGCCTGCTGGTGGCAAGTCGGAATGCCCGTGCGGGCAAATGGTAACACAAGCTGGGTGTTCAAGTTATCATACGCTGTCATCTCAGAATTCAATTATGAGATACGCGGTACCTTTTGAGATTAAATTTAGCGCGAGAGACGTTGATGTGACTTTTGAGGTCGGTGAATGGAGGCAGCTAAACTTGTTTGTGCTCATACGGTCTTTGTTAGCTACATGCGAGATACCTTGCAATAGAGAATGCTGTATAGTACCGATAACGCGTTTCAGCCGGGTCAAATATTATGTTTGGTCCGTTACACACTCAAGGCCTGGGAGTTCGAGTTATCATACGCCGTCATCTAAGAATTCAAATATGAGATACGCGGTACCTTTCGGGATGATTTTTAGAGCGAGAGGCGTTGATGTGACTTTGGCCTCGGTCAATTGAGACAGCCAAACTTGTTTGTGCTCATACGATTTTTGTTGGCTACATGCGAGATACCTTGCAATAGAGAATGCTGTATAGTACCTATAACGCGTTTCAGCCGGGCGAGATATTATGTTTGGTCCGTTACACACACACGAACAAACACACGAACACACACACGAACACACACACACACACACACACACCACACGAACAAACACACGAACACACACACACACACGAACACACGAACACACGAACACACGAACACACGAACACACGAACA